CCATGTTCGACGCCATGTTGCGGCGATTCCGCCGCCGAGGCGCGCCGCCCAAAGACCAGGCGCCGCGCCGCTGAACTGTGGCAACACTCGCGGCAAGAGCGATTCCAGACTGCGTGTCGGGCCCGGATCGTCGTGTTATCGGATTCCCCCTGCTTCACTCGCTATCGGCTGATTACGATTCAGCCGGCTGCGTGCACGCCCGTGCTCGGCTCCTGCGCCGCGTTGGGCGTCGTGGAGTGGTTCTACGGAACCGCAGACCCCGATTTCCTATGGCGAAGTGGTCTCACTTCTACCCCGCGTGGACTGGAACATGCCGAACGCGGCACGCGAAGTGGTGCGTCCATCGTCGAACGACCATTCGGATCCAAAGTCCGATGTGCGCGCAATGGTGGCATGGCAGCCTTTGTAGCCCCATATCTCAGCGAATACGCAGAGATGGACAACGATCTCAGTGGCTGCATGGACCACATCTTCACGCACGACGCGCCGGTGAAAACGGGACGTCCAGGCGCTTGCGTGGCGACTCAGTTGGGGCGGTTTTAGGGGCTGGGATGCGGCGCGCCGGACTTCCCCGACCCCTTTATGCTCGTCTTCGAGTCATTGCAGCACCAGGGATCGTTTGTCGTCACCCGCACATCGCCTGGATACAATGGCGGGGTCGAGAGAGTCGAAATCGTCGAGTTCGTCCGGCCGGCGCTCTGCGCCCGCGGTGGCCCGACGGGACACCGTGAAGGTCCACGGCAGCTCCGACGTCAGAGAGTGGATGGAGTCATTCGATGCCGTCTCTGGGCTATGCTCTAGCATCGCCACCGGCGGTAGTGCGGTCTGGAACCGCCGGGACCTCCTCTTCGCCCTCTCGACGCGGGGCAGCCCGAGTTTCGAGGCCGCAGACCACCGTGGCCGCCGCGCCCGTGGCCGCGCGTCCGCCCTGGGGACCGCCGTGACCTTGGGCGAGAGCGCCGGCACCGACTGCATGCCCAGGGGCGCGCATGGGCTGCGGTTTTGGGGCTGGAAACGCTCCAAGCGGCTCCATCGAACGCCAAAATCGTAATCCGCCGATCGCGGGAGCGGCAGGGGTAGGATGATTCTGATTGACCTTTCCTTTGCCCCCGGCGCGCGCGCCGATGGGCACAGATGCCGGGCCGTGCTGGGAGGCAGTGGTGAGTGGGGTTCGACGCGGTGCGGCGGCGCGGGCGGGGCGGCGGGGGCAGCCCCGGGTGCGTTTTTCGGGCGGGCAGCCCCGGTTTTCGGGTGCGGCGTTTTCATTTTCGGGTGGTCCGAATTTTGACCCCGACCGCAACCAACCTTGAAACCCTGGCCGAAAATGAATAAGACCGGCAAACGGTCCGTGACAAGCTGGTATTTTCGGCTCTTCAACGTCTACTTTGTTGATGTTGATGCGCCAGCGAGCACAATCATGACATTGTACAATAAATTATTGTGAACTCTGAGATGGAGTCCACCAAGAAGAGGTCGTCGAAGAAGGCCGCCCTGGACATGGATGCGCGGAACAAGGCCCGCATGTCGTCGAAGAAGGAGGGCGGGATCCTGAAGCGCGCGCGCTGGGGCGCGACGCACCGCATCCACGACCACTTCGTCGACGGCTTCCCGCTGCTTTCGGATCGCTTCGTGCGCGAGCGCGAGGCGGCGGAGCGGCGCTACGAGTACAACCTGGGCTCGCGCCACTTCGCGAGCAAGGCGGACGGCGAGGCGGGCATCGGCGCGCTCAAGGCCCTGTTCCGGCGCCTCGACCGCGCGATCGGCCTCGGCGACGCCGCGGTCGTCCAGGCGCTGCGCGTCGAATTCGCGGCGGAGCTGGCGCTGTGGAAATGGCGCAAGGGCGCGCGCGTCGAGTTCAAGCGGCGGCGCCTCGCCAAGGAGACGGAGGGCGGCGACGCCGCCGCCGCGGAGAAGAGCGCTGACTAAAAAGTGGGTCAAATTACAGCTCGGCCTCCGTGAGGAGCTTGAGGCGGTACTGCGTGTTCGTCGCGAAGGCGGGATTCGCCACCATGGGCGGCGCCCAGTCGCCGTCCTCGGCGTCGTCCCAGCCCGCGGGCTTTTTCGCGCCCTTCGCGGGGACGAGCGCCGGCACGCCCGCCGGGACCCACCTGGGGTTCGCCTCGATGGAGTAGGCGACGAAGGGGCCCTCGGGCACGTCGACGATGGGCCCGTCGAGCCAGGCCTGGCCGTCGACGACGACCTTGTAGCGGTGGCCCTTGAACGAGTCCTCGGTCATCTGGGCGCCCTCGTTGAGCGTCCCGCGGAGGTTCGCCGCGTTCGCCGACTCCTGGCGACGTCGAGGCCCGGCGCGAGCC